GTAACTTTGTAGACGAATACGTTTTAATGCCTACCCTTCCTTGGACCTCATATTATCATTTTACTAATCCCCTTTGCTTACCATTATCTAACACTCACATCGATATAGAACGAAATAAGGACATGCTATATCGACTCACTACACCACTAACATCTAGACAATTTACCTATATTGGATATAAAAAATCACTAAAAACACACACTGCACCCCGAGCTAATGAATATACACTAGAATATTACGATCATAACATCATCAGAGCTAACCAAGATCAATTCTTAGACGACGATCGCTTCGCTAACCCACAAATCACCGAGAAATTTTTCATTAAAACACCATATGTATTTACACTAAATATCTTCGATCGCAAGTTTGACCACACTATTTCAGAAGCACTAACAGACACACAAGCCTACGAAAGTTTTAAAGAACGCTTCCAAATATTTTCACTAACCTTTCATTTCCTTGCACCACATGAAAGAGATTTGCACTGCTCACACGATATTATGTTGCGCACTAAACAAACACACACATATACTTATTATCGTTTCATCCAAAATCACTTTGACCTACACACTCCCTCCAGACAACCACACCATCGTTTTCAATTCATCAATTCCAAATACACCTCACCATTCTTTCTTAACTTCACATATTGTATTAAAGATACTAACCTTCATGGTATTCTTCGAAATTATGATCCCATAACCCAAATGTATATTTTTTGTCCAATCACCAAGACCTTCAACGCAGAAGAATCCCGACCCTTCCTTATCCCACACGAGTTTGTACAACCTATAGAAATCCCCATTTTAGAATTCATCCATAACACTAAATTCAATCACAAATTATATAATCTAATACAAAACACACCTTATGAATTTGCAGTTGGCACTGAAGAACTAACCACCATTAAAGCACTTCAATTGCTTTGGCCACTGCTTCAAACTAAAAATATCATCCGCATTTTAGCCAAATTACTAACAACTTCAGATCTCAACCACGACATCTTCCCCCACGGTTTCTTCCCCGACGACTAACAGGTAAGTATGAATTATACATATTACTAACTAATTTAAAGATTAGAAACTCACCATTCTTTATCCATGTTTTCTTTAGAATTTTAGCCTTCATCCAACGATCATCTGAAAAATTCACAAAAGAAAAATAAAAAATAGCAAACTTCTTCAAAACTGTTTAAAACCCTATTAAATTTTTGCACCAACAATTAAATAAATATAATACCAATGCAGTAATTTACTTTATAAATTTTTCCCCCACAAGCAGTAAATATAATAATGATGAAAATTTGTAACTTAATTTTCCCCAACAACTAGCAGTAAAATTAAAATTCTATGTAGTAAATTAATAAGAAGCAAATGCAGTACTAACCTTTTGATATTTCCATTCACTCGCACAAGAATTCTATTCAAACTCGCACAGCTCGCCCACAAAGAATTGTTTAAATAATGAATTTCAGTTTCAAGCTTTCACAACTCAACAACTCTAACATACGATAACAAGTTTCAAACTTTCCTTTAACCCGGTTGGAAAGGAATTATATACTAAACAAAACTAACCAATGCAGCTTACTAAACACCACAACACATAGCATAACAGCATGACTAAGAAAAAGGAAACCAACGGTACCCAAACCGGATTAACCCAGTTTAAAACTGGATAATTTATTCTTTTGAAGACTATTATAAAGTCTAAGAAAGAAATAATAAAACACAAAAAAGTCGAAAGACAAACCCATACCACAAACAATTTGATTTTTGAAAAAAGGACACAACCAACAAAACATAAGAAAAACCACAACAAACCCAACATAAAACGTTGTCACATAACAGGACCTCTCACAAAAACCGCATGCAATCATACTCCCACTCCTGGCCTAACCCACCAGGAAGGACGTCCTGAGCATGCTCTATAGCCGGCCTAACCCACCGTGCTACATCCACGCTTTGTGACCACACTCCTATTTTTAATAAGAGCTACTCAAGGGTGAGTAACTCTTCAAAATAACTGAACTAAAACAAAAAGCTTTTGTGAAAACAACTAACTAAAATCATAATTAAAAAATATTAAACTAATAAAAGTTTTATAAAATGTAAATTACATTATGCAATACATAGATCAGAATACAACACCAAGGACGAACATCCAAAGACAAAACGACATCACTACACTCGAGAAAGAATGGCCAACTACAATCAATATGCCGCTCACAATCACAACTCAAAGGATTTAGAGTACGACTTGACTTCGCAGAAAAGGACTTCATTGAACTAGACCAATGACCACCTCGATGTTCAAGTATACGTACAGATCCGAGTAACCAGGCATCCCCTCCACGCACAATCTCCACGCCATTCCTAGACAAGATCAAAACACAAAGAAGTTCTCATCAATGAAACAGAAAAACCTGACATAGCCAACCATTCTGAAATCAGATTTGAGTTTGTTGCGAAAAACCAGTCGTTGTCTTGAGAAGACACAACGATTGAATCTGGGACTTCCCTAATAAGAAAACCCAGAAGAAATAAGATGTTCGCCAAATACCAACGTCCATCATCCATCCTTTGAATTGCAGAAAGACTATTCTAAAAAACTCTGTAAAACCCGGATGGGTGGAACCTGATCTAAACTACATTTTATGATTGGATAAATTAGATATTTTACCAATGTAAAGTATTTAATATTAACCAATCATGATCCATCTGACTAACAATCCACTTATTTGTAAGTGCCGAAATTACTTGTAATTTCAGCACCAGAGAGATTTGAATTTAACTTAGAAATTAGTTGAACTCTCCCGAGTACTTCAGCAGCCGCAATAAACCAGTATACCCTAGATCTATTGAGCCTAGCAGAGACTAGTTAAACAACCTGAGACTAGATAGTATAAGAGTAAGATTAGGATCGGTATTAGACTAAGAAGTTGCACGAATCTATCCGGCCGAAAATAAGATAGCGTGACGAGCAGACGGTGTACCCTATCCGAAATTACTCTATGAGTTATACACTTCGGTTCTAACTCACAGTTGCAGAGAAAAAAGCTCTTTGTCTTTAAAGCAATTCGAAATTCATGAATCCTTTTGATTGACATTTCTGGATTTTGAAAGGATCATAATTCTGGATCATAATTTGCTTTTCGTTTAGCAAATGAGTTTGTTCAATTAAACTCAAATTGAAATTAAAAGTCAATCAAACAACAAATTTAGAAAAAAAAAGTGGTAACTATATTTCTTACAAAAAAAAATGAAGCCGAACGACCTAAAAAAGTTTTTCAAGTCCCTGGTTGGCACAATGCAACTGATTTTTAAAATAAATTTATTTGTTTTAGATTGAATACTTTACATTTTCCAACTTGCATTCTGAAAATACATTAGAAGATTTTGATATCTTCAATAGGCAATCGGGAAGTAAACTGTTGGCAACGGAACTGAAAAAGAACTTGAAGATGAACTAATGTGCATTTTTCGTAGCATAAGTAGTTGTACAATTAGAGTTTTCAACTTTGACTTTATCGAATTGCAATTTGCGCTAAAAATCTTGATATTCAGAATTCTTGAGCAAAAGCAATGATAAAGCTACCATGAAACGTGAGATTTCGAAACGTGAGGTTCAATGGGGTTTACTATTTTTACCAGATACAAAAATCCATCCGAATCGATTTAGCTCAAATTTTGTTCACATTTCGAAGAAAACGGAACATTTATGCTTGGTGTGGTTTTTCTATTCAGTCAATTTTTGGCGGTTGAAGTACTAGTTGTTAACAAAATTTTTTTATCCCCATTGAAAATATTGACTCCCTGAATCGTAATATATAAAATACTCTACTTCCGATCGTTTTTGCTATGTTCTGGGAGTTTGAAATAGCTAATGTTGCAAAGTTCTGGACTAATTTAATGCTCACTTTCTCAAATTTTTTTCATAATGCTGAAAACAACGCGAATTATTTATGCATGGCGAATTATCCTGCTCAACAGAATCGTTCAAAGTTGAATTGAGGCGCGCTCTCAATTGACCATGTTATTTTTGTATGACTGAAATCTTAACACTTGATCTTTGATATTGTCCGAAATTTATAGTTTTCAAATATTTCCTCGTATCAGAAATTATTTGAGACCAACTAAAGGGCAGTCGGAACAATCAGGGTTTTGCCATGATATACGAGCAGTCTTGTTTCAAATTTAAATCTAATTTAAAAACTTCAAGATGAGTTGATTTAAATCAATTTAAAATCCACTAAAGAGTTAAGCAATTTGGATTGATTTAAAAGCAATTAAAAACGATTTGGACCGAAGAAGACCCAAAAAAGAGTTCTCGGTGTTAAAAAATAGGGTCTGCATTTCACCGACTAATTCAAAATTTTCAAGATGGATTGAGTTCAATCAACTTAAAATCCATAAATGGTTAATCAATTTGGGTCATTTTAAAAGCAATTAATAAACGATTGGGACTTTTGAAATATCTAAAAAAGAATTCTCGGTGTCAGGAAAAGTTGTCCTACATTCCATCGATTAATTCAAAACTTTCAAGATGAATTGAGTTAGATCAACTTAAAATCCATCAAAAAGTTTAATCGATTTGGATCAATTTAAAAGCAATTGAAAAGGATTGGGGCTTTCAAAATGTCGAATATAGGAGTCGGGGTGTCAAGAAAAAATGGTCTGCATTTCATCGATCAGCTGACAATTTTCATGATAGTCAAATTCAAGATCAAGTTAGTTGTAACTCAATTTTAGATATAGTGAAATCTCTTTGTTTCAGTTTTTATGTAATTCAATTGCCCCTTAATAGGAAAAATTATCCGACTAACTAATTGATGAAATTATGAACCAAAATACGAATTTGCAAAAGCTAATTTTCAAACAAGTCAACAGTAAAACCAATTTACTTTTGCGTTTTTCAGCTTTTTTTTGGCAGAAGACAAGAAAAATTTGACCTATTCTTGGTCTCAAAAATGAAAAAAATGATCGCTTGAAACTCATCACCTTCAGATGTTTGTCCAAATTGGTAAAGAAGTTCGTCTGGAGGTTTAAACTGACTGGGACCGTAATATGTCATCTTCAGGGGCAATTCAGAGGGCACCACAACTACAGTCGACAAATATTTCTCCCAAATAACTCCAGTCTCGATCTCACAATTTTGACAACAGTAGTTAACACTCCGATTATTACTTATGACAAAAGGCGTGTTATAATAACTACTATTTCGTAAAGATGAAGTTTGTTCACTTATTATTCTCGATACAATTTCAGCGTCTCGAATGTAGTTGTTAAGAGTTTCGAAATGGTCAACTGTCGATAAAGTGTTACGTGTTGTTGATGATGATGACGAAGATCTTTTGAACAAATTGTGATCTGCAACTGACCGCAATGGCCGCTTCAAAGCAATTTCTTCTTCTAAGACTTCTTCGAAATGATTTCCCTTCGACGAATCAATTAAATTATGATAGAAGTTTCGATCAACGTCTCTCTTGCTTGTATGAAACGTCTCGTTTTAGAACCACTCTTTTTTCTTTCTGTGATTGGTTAATTTTAGGGATTACATCTACAGTATTCTCATCATAACTACCATTAAAACAAAATGCAGCTGCTTTTTTAAATCTGTTGGTAGGTTTTGATTTTGATAAAACGTCCTCTCTCCTTCGTTTGTGAAACGTTAAATGTTTACTTGCTATTGGTTTAAAACCCGGTAGCGATAATAGAGTTCTGGGGATGCGATTTGGAGGCAGTGTTTGGGATGTTGTCAGAGCCTCAAGGTATTTTGTGGTCAAATCACTGCGGCTAGACTTAATAAACAGAATACTTAATTGGCACTTGCAGCCAAAATGTTTGTTTCTACCATAATTGAATTGGTATAAACAGCAATCAATAATCTGTTTTTGCAACAGTACCCCTGGTAATGATAGATTAACTTGATGACGACAATAGAATAAATGGTGATCTGGTACAGAAGGACAGCGGGTAACAAGGGGGGTTACTGTTATTTTAATTAGCTTTGACGCCAACGGGACTGCATTCCCTCGCTTTTTCGCTAGGGTATCGGCTTTTCCTTCACACTTTTGACGCCAATTTGGCGTCGAAAAGAGTATGTAAGTGTAGGTTTGTAATAATGGGGATTCTCCGAAAAAGGAACAGTTACAGAAATGGTAGAAATTTTTGTTGGTAAGACTATACTCCCAATTAAAATTGGCTTCTGAAAACCACCGTGAAAATGTTTTATCTTTTCTCAATATACTCTTCAACTTTTTTTCTAATGAATCGGGGTTCACCGCTGATGGTGGTATTCTAAGCCTTGGACAACGATTGCATGCATTCAAATGCAGCGGTCGACGACAACAACAACCAAGAAAATAACAATAACAACAACAAAAAGTACAAGGATAAGAAGAAGAAAGGAATCCAGGCGAGCGATTGCGGTGGTTGTTATTAGTTATTGTATCTGATGGTGATGATGAGTGCTGTTGGGTATTGTGGGCTGCTCGGGCAAACATGACGTTGAAAGGACTCTGGTTAATTTGTTTTTCCACTTCACTGGATCCACTTAGTTTCTCATTCAATAGGAAGTCCATAAATCTCCCCTCCTCCTCACTCTCACCAGAAATACTACGGCTACTATTGGCCCCTGTCTGATGGGGAGATGTTACGTAATGTTCCTGATCTGTGACGTAATGTTTCTTGGCTGAAATGTACTGCCGTTGAACTGTGACGTAATGTTGAGGTGGTGATGCGGTCGGAAGGAGATGGCAGTTGATGGAGGCTGCACATACCAACTGCAACCAGCATAACTTCAAAAAACAAAAAGAGGAATAGGAAGAAAAGAATGAGAATGCCAGAGCTCCTTGATGTGCCCCCGGGCTGCTTCTGCTGTTCTGAAACATAATTGGATTCAGACCACCAAAGTTACTATGGGCTAGATGATGGAGTATAGCATCATTTCACAATCTAGACAGCGATTTTCGGAATCATTTCAGAAGCTTCATTTCAGAAATTAGATAGCATAATAATAACATCTGATTTTAATGATTTTAATAACACTTTGATTTTAACTCTGATTTGATTTTAGAACGATCGACTTATTGTTTTTAGCTCATATCGTGAATCCTAATTTCAATATTTTCCCGCTAACCAAGAAAACGGCCATAAAAAAACAAAGAGTTTATCACCAAATCAAAATTTTTCATGTATAAAATGAAAAATTGTTTTAAAAAATTGTTTAAATTGTTTTTTAAAAAATGGTCTGAAAAATCTGGGTTCAATTATAAAATTTCGTTTTGTAATTCATTTTGAAAAAAAAGAGAGATAGGTGAGAAATTTTGGTTTTGCAAAGTTTAACTAAATGTGAGTAGGTTTCGAAATTGAGTAAGTTGTGAGTAATGCGAAAAAAACTGCAAGTTTTGCAGAAATTTTGGCAAAAAAATATAGAGATTATAATTCATTATAACCCATTCTAATGAATTCAAAATGGATTATGATCGATTTTTTTTCTGTAAAAATAAAGGATTATAATGGATTATAATCGATAACTTGGTCCCAAAGTGTAAGTATAATCGATTATAAAGCCACTTTTTTGACCACGAAAATTGGTTATAATCCATAATTATCCATGGAACCTCACTTTGGGTTGAAGAGTTATGGCGGTTTGAAAACTGTCAATTTGGCTAAATTTGATTAATTAACGCCTACGAAGATTTTGATTGGTTCAAAAATGACAATTTTGATTGGCTCAAAAACCTTTCCCATTGGAACAACGACTAGCTATTTGAAGCTACTAATACATCGCGAGACGTTTTGATACATAACTTGGCACTATACATAACGTGTGGTGGAAATATTTTCAAAAAAGGAAATTTTTGTTGAAATTTTTTCAATGTTTAATAAATTAATATATTTTCCTTAAATTTTACGGGGCAGTCAGAACATTGAAGGTTTTGCACTGATATAAATCATCTCTATTAAAGTTTTACCAAGTGCAAATTTTATCAATCGATCTTTTACATAGCATCTGAGGTAAGAAAATAACAAAATAACTTCTTTTCTACTTTTTCTTTACTATCATTTCAATCAATTATCCAACAAAAATTCAGGGCTGTCTTTGTTTTAGAGTTTTTTCACTCATCTAGGCATATTTTAAAAACCAGGTTCTAAAAATCAAGGCACATTTAAGGTTTGTTAATTTTGCCGCTTTTTCAATTTTTAGAGAGAGTCCAAAAAGGTTTCAGCTGACACATTTCGAGTCAATATTGATTGATACTCCTCATGTACCTAATAAACCAAAAGAACAAGCCCGTTATAATAGAAAAAAATATTGTGTAAATCACTTTGGTTCACCCATTCACTCGAAACAATTCGCATCCAAGCTTAGGTGCAAATAATCGGATATAACGAATTATTCTGATGATTTTTTGACAATTATATTGATTTTAAATACAAACATTTGGTCTTTACTAGATTTATAATCAACTGCAGTTTATTAATCAATTGCAGATTGAAATATTTGAATTTTGTTCTGCAAATATACCAAGCACATGCTGCGATAGAAAATTAAACATATTTTTTGAATTTAAATGATTTTTTTCTCATTTTTTTTGATGTTTTTTTTTGAATCTTTTGGCTTTGAACAAATAGTTGTCATTATCTGCTTTATAGTGGGGTTGTTATCAGCTAGATTGATATCCTTGAAAAACTACTGAGTCACATACTGATTTTTCATTGTGAAGTATACTTTTTGTTTGTTGGTCCTGAAATTATAGTGAAACGTTGATTTTTTGATCACCAGTGAGACGTTGGTCACTGCAGAATGCTAACAGTTCATTGTCTACTGAAAGAATTAAAAGATTTTGGATAGCCATTAAACATTCAAGAATTCGATTTGATTTCTGAAATGATGCTCGAAATGGAAACAGCTCCAAGATTCTTGCAAAATTGAAAAAAAAATGCTCATAAATTATGAAGCAACTGATGAAACTTCAGCACTTCATGAACTCGTTCAAATTTCGCATGTGCGTTGTTGATAGCCCGCAGGGGGTGCGTCCGGCATGCTCAAACCGAATCTTAGAAACTTTGCGACTTCGGTCGGCCAAAACCACAGGTCAACTGGGGATAGAGCAGTGAAGTTGTTGAAAAAGTTAAAAAGGTGTAAAGGGGTGTGTGGGGAAGTCCAGTGGGAAGCAGTTTGGAGGGAAATTTGGGTTTTTTTTCTGTCTAAGTAATGGCCGATAGCCAAGCATTAATTTGAAAAGGATTTGCCCGGTGACGCAAAGGAGGGGTTTATCAGAAAATGTGATATCGGGTGGTTTGAGTGACTGTATTTTGGGAGGAGTTGCATCTACAATAGCCACTCGACTTTTGGAATAAGTAGTTGTTTTAAAATCAATTTGAAATTTTGAGAGGCAAAAAAACGAAGTTCATTAAAATCATTTAAAGTCTTGAAGGATGCCTTTACTGTGTCTCGGAGAATATTTTATATACCGGGATTATTAATTTCATTCATTGCTGGGAGAATATTCCCCCAAATTGTCGAGTGATCGTGAAGTTCAAAATTTTTGATTCTTACTGTAAGTGTTCTGAAGCACTGATTATTGAACAACCTGTTATAGTAGTTTTGAAGTGATTAAATTGTCTCCCAGAACGTAAACTGGCGTCACGGGAGCATACTGGGCATGCAAAATCTAATATTGCTTTGACCATATTTTGTTTGCTGAATTCTGTTTGCAGTCTTCTGCGATGGTATGAGTGTTTAAAGGTTTTCTTTTGAAAAAAAGGGGGTATGAGTCACTTTAACTGAAAAGTCTGTTTTGAGCTCTCTGTTCAACGAGCATTTTGCATAAAAACAAAAAAGGTCTGAACGTTAAAAAGTGTGGTAACTTGGTTAAGTCATTTCATAAATCAGAGGAAGCTGTTTGAAAAATTGCTTGCTCTTGAGTCGTTTCCGTTTGACTTTACTTTAAATTCTGAGGGTGATAATGGCGCATCATAAACCTAAAAATTGAACAAAGAAGGTGATAGGACTGAGCCTTGTGATAGGACTAAGGTCATCGGTCTAATGCCATAATGGTGGTCGCTATAATGGTGTGTTGGTGTTTGCTCAAGGTTAGGTTAAATAAAGACTCTAACAATTTCAGAGCTGATCTTAAAATTGATTCCGAGCAATAAGATTCTGACAAATTGAAGTCTTTTTTGTTTTTTTGAAGGGTACCACTTTTGAGTTTTACCATTATTGCGTTTTGATTTGAAGAGAAATGAGCAGTTAAAAATGCGTCTGAAAAGTTTGTTAGCTACTGGTCCTGGTTTGCCATTTTCCACTTTGGGTGGTAGAAATTTTAGAGAGTCAGCTAAGCTGAATTTCAGAAAATTTTACCTTTGAGCTTTGTTGTTTTTGTGTGTTCTCATTTTTTAGTATTGTAAAATAAAAGCCTTTGCAAAAATTTCTCCTCTAAAAATAATTATTTTTTCAATTAAAATTGATTGAATAGGTTTCTAACAAAAGATTAGAGCAATTTAACGACTGGACCATCTCTCAGAAATCACTAGAAAAATTATGATGAATGAAAGTCTGGAAGAGTTCCCACATTGTCTTTTCGTTCTTTTTGCCCAATTTGAAAGTGAGTTCTTTTTGAAAATGTTTAAAAGTGGAATTGACGAATTTGGTTGTCTGATGTTGTCCTTTTGTTTTGCTAGTTTTTCTGTTTCATAATTTAGTTCAGGTACAAAGAAAAAGTTACGGCCTGTATGATCATGGTGACGGGATGCAGAGAAGATAAATAACCAAAAATCTCTTAGTGACATTCACATAAGCTGAATAAGTTTTTCTGCTTGAATATCTTCGATTTGATTATTAAAACTTTTTCAGATCGCTTTTCTAACACTTATAAAAGTTTTATGAGGCGCAAAACGGATATCCTCAGCAATCATCAAAATTTCAAATTTAGTATGTGGTCTGATCCATAATTTAAAATTGTTTTCCGAACAGGATTAGGTCAAATTGAAGAACATGCGAGTGATAAGTCGGGTGACTGTGCTGATGAACTTTCATCAAATGGCAGTCGAGTTTGGCGGTGGTCATTTTGTGGGCCGAATGAGGATTGAATAATTGTTGCACCTAGGTTAGACCCGTAACATTCCGCTGTTGTATTAGAGAACCAAAGGGGGGAATGAACATTTGCATCGCCTAATACAACAGTATTATCTGTCGAGAGGAGAATTTAAATGGTTGCTTTATAGTTCTTAGGGCATATAGGTAGAAATGTAAAAGTTCGTGATAAGAGATTCTGATTATTGGCCTTTCCAGGGTTTGGACTTCAAGTACTTTATGTTCCTCGTAGAGGAGAGAGTTACTAGAGTTTTAGTAAGTAGATCTTCAACCTCTCGCGGTTGGTCCTTCCTTAGTGAAGTGCAGTTTGCTTTCTTGAAAAACCGCAAGGTGAATTGCCTATGTACTCGCGTACTAAAGCTGCTACTCCAGGTTTTTTTCAGAGAGGCCATTACAGTTTAATTGCAGAGTATTCAGGGACTTAATTGACGTTGAGAGTGGATTAGCTTTGTCACCAGGGGGTATGTCGCATGTTGTTGAACTGTGCTGGTGTCAGTGTTTGAGGTCAAGGGGTGTTAGTTGCTGGCAGATGAGTTCTGAGGAAAGGATAGAAGTTGGTCGGAACCTTGTTACGGAATTTGTTACTGGGAGGGTCAATATGTAATTTGGTGTGCAGATGGGACAGTGAGCAACTCTGTGATGATGTTTCAGCGTGTCTGAAACTGCATTTAAAATGAATCCATCCACAAACAAACGTGGCATCGCACGGTTGCTGGGAACACAGCATTTGGTGATTACACGGGAAGCAGCTATAAGCTGTTTGCGCAAATGTTGGGTCCA